GAAGAGTAAAGTTTTACCTACAATAGAGGACTGGAGAGTGAAGGTTTCGCATCTTGCTGAAATGGCAAAGATTTCGGCTTATTTGAAGGATCACTCAAATGAACAATTTTTATCAATATGGAGAAGATGGATTGTTTATATTCAAAATAAGCATAGAATGGTGGAATATAGGTTAGGTTTTTAGATAAAAAATTTTTTTTTTCACATATATATATATATATATATATTTCACCTACTTATGTAGAATAATACTTTGTGGAGTTAGGGATATTAATATTAGTTTACTTTTAGTTGAATAGTATCCTGGGATTAGGTTTGGGAAGTCCGGGTGGGGGGTGGGGGGAGGGGTTTTTCTCAATTGTGATGTATCTGTGATGTGCTTATTTTTATGTTGAAAACAATAAAAAATTTATATTTGGAAAAAAAAAAGAATGAATTAAACAGTTCTGCTTTCTCCCTGCTACTCATCACCTCCTTGCCATCTTCTCCGATTAGTGGGCTGATCATTTCTTTGACTTTTTTCTTGTTTCTTACATGTTAAAAGAAACTTTTTATTATTACTTTTGGCATTTGTTGCAAGTCTTAGTTCATTCTAAGCCTTAGCTTTCCTAACTTTGTCCTTGCAGATTTCGGTTATTTGTTGACATTCTTTTTTAAGTTATGTGTTCCTCTTTCCATTGTTTACTTGTCCTTTTTGTCTCGCAGTTTACCAGAGAGTTCTTTATGCAACCATATTGGTTTCATTTGGGGGGGGGGTGTCTCTTGCTTTTCTTCTCTGTGGTATTGTGTTAGACTGGGCTTTTACTGTCTCATTTTTTTCAGAGCATCTTGAGTTGTTTTCCTTTTTAGGATTTCTATTCATGGAATTCTTCCTAAACTCTTTCCTAAACTCTAAGTTCCAAGTTTGCTGAAGTTGGCTTTCTGAAAGTCTAAGACAATATTATGACTTTGTTGAATTATTTGTGACTGCATTAGGTTGAATTCCAGTGTGACATGGACACTCTCCCCCAGGTTCCCACAACTTCAACACCCTCTATCATTTCATTGTTGTTAGTAAGATTTAAGTCCAGTATAGCTGACCCTCTAGTTCCCTCCTCTACCTTTTGGGTGACAAAGTTGTCTGCTAGGTTCATGAGGAACCTGTTTGATATACTACTTGGTGCAGATTTTGTCTCCCAGGTGATGTCAGAGGAGTTATAGTCCCCCATTAGTACTGTGGTATATTTTCCAAACATCTTAGCTAACTGATTAGCAAAACGTTCATCTACTTCCTCTGCTTGGTTGGGTGGTTTCTAGTATACACCTATGGCAATGCCATTCCTTTTTCCTTCTATATTAACCCAAATCCATTCAAGAAGATTTTCAGCTATGGTTTTGTGCATTTCTGTAGAAGTCTAGTTATTTGCTACAAATAATGGAACTCTACTTCCTCTTTTGTTAGCTCTATTTCTTTTGAATAATTTAAAGCCTTTTAGCAGTATATTCCAGTTTTGGGTTTCATCCCACCAAGATTTGGTAATGGCATCAATGTTGAACCTGTTCTCATATATTAGCATCACATTTGCCCTGTTTGTTCCTTATACTTCAAGCCTTAGTGTATAGATTTCTGAGACCTTCTTGACTGAAATTGCATTTGCTTCCTACTTTATATCTGAGTTCTCCTTCCTTTTCATCACTCCTTATCTCATTGTTTGATTGGCTTTCTTGAGGTTTATGCTTGGGATTCGGTCCTAAAGATCCGTCTCCCTCCCCTTCCAGTTTTAGTATAAAGCACTTCAGATAAGCTGAGCCAGTTGTCTTCCTTGTTCTTGTGAGGTATAGTGCATGCCAGAAGCTCTTTATGCAGGTAATATAGACCATGGTCTAGAAATCCAAAGTTCTCTTAACAGCACCATTATTTAAGCCAGTGGTTTACTTCTAAAATCCTTTGTTCCCTAATTAGATGTTGACCTTCCATTGGAAATACAGATGAAAGCACCACCTCTTGTCACTTTGGCTTTCATGCCTAGCTGCTCATAGTATAATATTGTTTTCAAGCTCTTTGTTATATCATCTATCCCCATATGAAATAGAAGAAAAGGACAATAATCTGTGGGCTTAATTATTTTAGTAAGTCTCTCAGTCACATTTTTGCTCTTTGCTCCTGGAAGACAGCATACCTCCCTTGATAGATTGTCTGGTCTGCAGATTGCTAATTCCATTCCTCTGAAAAGTGAGTTTCCTATCACCAACTCACATTCTTTTCTTCCTGTCACTAGTATGCTTGATATGGGCTGGACTGCAGGGACGTTGTTTTAGATTTTTTTTCTATGTGTCATTTTGCCATCAATTATCTCTAAAGTTTCATTTTTCTGATAGTTGTTCTTTAATGTGTTAATGTCTTCCTTTAGTTGGAATTTATCATTTTGCTGTTTGAATCTCAGAGTGGCTAGATTTGCATCTAGATCCTTTACTTTTTCCTTGAGTAATTCATTTAGTTTATATTTGGTAGAGATATAATTTGTGTCTTCTATTGGCATGAATACATACATGGCACATGTTCTGCAAATCACAACAGTGTTAGTCTTTTTTAATGACTATTTGTTTTTCCATGACTGTTATTTTTCTTGCATACGGTCCCAACAATTCCAATGTAAGATCCCTTATTTCTTTTACAATTTGGTTTAATACAGGGTTTTATTTTTTTTAACAATCTTTTCCATACTATATCCTTTGGTTTTTAAAAAAATTGGTCATTGCTTCCTCTTGTGGTTAATGTTGAAATAACACCTGAATGTTAGTGTTGGAGTAAACTTTAAACCTAACACATCAAAGACAGATCAGATCATCTTCAAAATATAGTTTGTAATCCACAGAAAGAAGAAGCAAAAAGAATAAAAGGAAAAAAGGCTCTCAGCTCACAGTTATTGTAAAAGAGTATAGAAAAATAGTAAATTTTTGTTCCTAGTAGTTATAAGTCAGGGACTTATTTTTTTTAGCAGTATTTCTAATTTTGCCTAATTTTGGGATACCTTCTTTTTTAATTTTAAAAAACTTAAAGATTTAGAAATTTAGTTTTTTAAAAATTAAAAATTTAATTTAAAATAGTTTTATGAAGGAATTTAATTTTATGACAATAAATTGGTCTAATTTTTAATCAGTTATTTTCTTTAATTTTTTAAAAAATTCTAAAAATTCAAAAACCTAAACATTTTATAATATACAATATACAAAATTTTAGAATACAAATTTCAATTTTTTTAAAAAAAATTGTTTATGCAGTGTTTTATTTTTTTAATAATCGCTATTGAGTTTAATGCTGAAATAATGCTTAAAAGTGAATCCTCTGCTCCCTCTTGTGGCTAGTGTTTAATTTCCTCTTATGGCTAGTGTTGAAACAGTTTGTTAATGTAAAAGTGTAAATTGTCCTTCCTTTACTTCTGTGTAAAGTTTGGTTGTCGCTATTTTGACATGTTGCATTGCTATTTCATATTCCATTGCACCAATGTGGTTCCTACCATTCTCAGCCAATATGCTGCATGTCCCAATTACGTTTTGATGCCATTCCTTCTCCTTCTTCAACTCTTTTTCTCCTTCCTTTGCTTCACTAACTTTTTTTTAACTTTACTTTCCCTCCTTTTTTGTCTCCTCCTTCTCTACTCTAACCACCTTCAGTTGCACATGTTGCCACTGTTAGTTGTGTCCCTGGGCTTTGCCACTCCTCAGTTGCAACTCACAGTCACGTGGCTGCTGCCGCCACCACTGCCACTTGCTGCGCCCACTGCCAATGCCACCACTGCCACCTTTCCTCGTCCTCCTATTTCCTTCTCTTGCTTTCCTTGTTTTCCTTCTCCTTTTCCTCCTTCCTTTGGTTCTTTAACTTTTTAACTTCGTTTAACTTTACTTCTTTTAAATGATTTAAATTATTAAATTATGTAGACCAATCTTTTCTAATATATATTGGCAGCCATTCGAAATTGGAAAAGGGGAATCCTGTCTTAACATTTACTTAAATAATGTTTTGATTATTTGCCTTGTCATGTAAGAGAATTTTCAAATATAATTATTTTCCAATCTGCTAGATTTCTTAATACACAGCAGTATTGGCAGCAACAAATAATTCAAGATTTTAGTTAATCAGAGTGAAAACTCCAAATGAGCCTTATTAAAAAAAATCAGATCTTTTACTCTTTTGTTGAATCAACATTAGACAGCATCATACCTGAGAGATACAATTCTTAAAATATTACACTGATATATTGTAGGACTGTATCCATCTCAAAACCTGTTCATTTTTGATCAAAATTTCTTCCACACAAACACAATTTTCCTGAAGATTAAATTGTCCCTTGCATATTACATGAGGAGTGTTTTCAGCACATATACAGGAGAGCAGTGAACAATATTCTCTCAGTTGTCCAATATGTATTTCTTTTATATCATATAATAACTCACCACAATTAAGTTCATCTGAACTATCTCCACAATCATTTTCCCCATCACATATAAAAGCTGGTAAAACACAGAGACCAGTTCCACACTGAAAACGTCCTGGTTGACATTTAAATTCAGCTGAAAAAGAAAGGGAGGTTTAGAATGCTACATATTTTGGTAATAAAGTGAAATTGGGGCTTTTCTAACATTCCCAAAAATTCTATGCAATAAAGATAGGCAATTAAATCATATATGGTAAGAATCAATAGAGATTCAAAAGTATCCCATTCCTCAGCCTATTTAATCATAATGTTCTCTTCTAAGACACAAGTCAGTTTTAATCACATAGAAATACAGTCTCAAAAAACACAGTGTAATATGTTTCCAGTGTTATATTTCTAGAAATTTTAATCAATCATCTCCTTACTATACTGAATTAAATGGCTTTACCCATATTATTCCTGGTTCCAAGTTACATTTTCTATACACCTTTTCTAGCTGGCTGACCTTTGCTGATCTTGAAAAAACTAAGCTTGAACAAATTACTTTCCTGGGAAACAACTATGAAATCCTAGAAGTATAAATTGGAGAGGAAGTACAAAAAAAAAGCATAGATGGATGGATGGATGGATAGAGACAGACAGACAGACAGACAGACAGACAGACAGACAGACAGACAGACAGACAGACAGACAGACAGACAGACAGACAGACAGACAAATTCCTAGGAGAAAAAAAACATAGCAAACCATTAGATGTTTCCATACAATGATTAGGAGGTGAGCATGACTCAAGAAAGATCTTATCTTTAAACAAAAAAAATGAATCCAATTGGTATCAAAAGCTCTGTTTCTCATCAGTAGCACATATGCTTTCTTTTATTTGATTTGCAATAAAGGCAATATATAAAATATATCAACAATCAACAATAATAATTTCTACAGGTAGTCCTTGACTTACAGACATTTATTTAATGGTGGCCTTGGGAAGGGTGCTTTATAAAACACTTTTGACCATTGCAAAATATCACACGTCCCACACGGTCATGATCTGAGTGCTTGGCAACATGGCCATACTTCAACCAGTAAGAAAGAAGGATTTATCCATTCAAAGAAAGGAAACATTACAATAGAACCTGATAGTGACAAAAACTCTCCATAAGGAATACTGTCAAATGGAGGAGTAAGCCCAATGGATGAGAGTAAAGATCAGAAGTAAGAGACACAAATCAGGTTCTGCCTCACTGGAACTCAGAAGTAGTTTTCAGGTCCTTTGAAAGAAAACAGGCTCTGAGTGTTCAAAATAGGAAATAGAAGCACTGTAAGAGAGTAGATCCCTCGCGGCATACATAATGCAACTGTTACTGTATAAGAAGACAAAGATAAAAGCCAATGTAGCTGATGGCTCACTAGTATTAGCAACTGACACAAATACACGCTGACATAAATCTATTAGTTTGTTGTCTTTCAGGGCCAAGGATCAGGACATAACAGAACACCTTCCAAGTTAGCAAGTGCCTTCCTGCTAATACCCATGGGACACAGAATACTGCAGAGAAGTGATTCAACCATATCGCTATGGATTTTGAAAAAGACCTCAGGGGAAAAAATATTAAAACTGCCGGGTCCTTAGCTAATATTCTTATTCATTTTTCCAATCCATAGAAGAGGAAAGAAGAATATAGCAGATCAATTTCTAACTTTCAAATTTTGCTGAAGAGATTTTGCTTTCTGGGACAATCATCTGAATTACCTACAAGACAGATTGACTGACATCTCACAAGAACTTACAAAAATGTATTTGACCAAAACATGAAAAGCTTGATTAGAATAGCTTTATAAGGAATGTTTGGGGGGCGGGCTTGAGGGGGGGTAGGGAGGAGGAAGTGGAAATGAAAATCCTAAAGGAGAGACCTCAAGTAAAGATTTCTGCATAGTAAAATCTGAAAAAAAAATGGTTGATATATTTCATGGCCTTTATTGTGAATATAGTCATGCTCAGAGTAAAATGCTCAGGGAATAAACCAGATGAGCCCCCTAAGCTATTAATTGAAAGAGCCAGATATAATTTAAAAGGCATAATGGAGACCTAATGTGATGACTCTCATGATTGATATATATAGCAAGTGAAAAAATGTATGGTAAAAAGGAACAGAAATAGGAGAAATCATGTTGCTCCTATAGCCAAATGAATGAGTCTGGCAATGCTATAGAGACCATCAGGCTTAAAATAAGCAAATAAAAGTAATGCTGTTGTAAGTGTCTATCACCCCATCTAAGCCAGAGAAGATATATGTTGTTTTCCAAAAGCAAATTGCTGTTCTTTTGAAGAGGCATAAAGTGGCAGGAATCAGAAAGTTTAATTGTTCTAATACCTGCTGGGACAAACTGTTAAAAGCATAATTACCTTTCTGGTTTCTTTGTGTATGTTATGTATTTTATCAGCATTAATATAGATGAACATTTTTATTTTTCCCAAAATATTTCTACAATATGTTTTGGGTTCCTATTTCTTTGAGAATATTCTTCACTTGCTTCAAAATAATCGATGAGATTGGGGAGTTGTTCATCGGTCTGGTGACGACATGTTATCTCAATATATTTATTTGTATTTGCTAAAATTTTAGAAGATCCTGTTGCATACGGGTGACTTATAGTCCTAGCAAATCTGGCATAACATGATTAGTGCAGCCTAATACTTAGACTGTTTGGACTAAAAATAAAAAGCCTGAATTAATTTTTGATGCAATCTTTCTATCTGGTGCTGATTTTGGACCTGTTAAACTGAAGAAGCTTTCTTTGATGAGAAGTGAAACATCTTCAAGGAAAACAAAGTCCAGTTGCCTTTTGAAAAAAAGCACCTTTGGGACAACCATGATCTGGATGACTGAGAATCTCCATAGACAGATCTATTAATACCTTATGCTGTTGCTGTGTGAAAAAGATTGGATGACAAACTATGTATATCACCTTAGATGTAAAGGAAATATCTGTGTACAAATAAATAAAAATATGACACATGTGTTGTTGTTTTCTGACAGTATTGTTTACTTCACACATTCTGAATGCTGAAAGGAGAATATTGTGAAATTATCAAATGGTCAGCTGATTTCATCATACTTCTGCCACACTGGAGAAGATGGATAGCAACCATACATTGTAAAAGTGATTGGCAAAAGCCTAATAAATCTCTTTTGTATTATTAATTGCAGATTTAATACATATAAAGGAGCACTAGAAAATCTAATTTCTAAAGTCCAATTGAAAATCCTACACTTAAAAAAAGTTTGATCACTGTAAGAATTAAGGTACTGTATTTTTTATTATGCAGTAATATTTCTCATTTTCAAATGTAATATACAGTATGAAAAAATGACTTTCAGCAGTTCTATCTTTATCACTTTTACAATATGATTAATAAGTCTGAAGAATAGTATTCCTAAAATATTGTATTAATTTATACTTACGACATTCTTCAGGTTCATCTGATCCATCTCCACAATCATCCACAGTGTCACATTTCCACCAAAATGGAATACATTTGTCTGTCCTGCAGCGGAACTAAAGGAGAAAAATGTAATAGAAAAGGTTTTAAAATAGATATACAACTTATAAAGATGTATAGGTATGTGTGTGGTGTGCATGCGTGCATGTGTGTGCATGTGTGTGCGTGTGTGTGTAGAATAAAAAGTCAGTAACTGGAATCTGATATACTGATTATAAGCTACTTTGAAAAGTCTCATTCTTTCATGTATATAAATCTATTGTATTTGCTACAATAATTTCCACACTTACAAAATAAATGCTTCTGAGAATTAAATATACAGCATACTGTTACAATTTTTATAGCAGTAGCACATATCTCAAAATATGTAAATATACTTAAAAGGAGATACTGAAAATATTTTTTAAAAAACTTCCATTCCAAACAATATACATACTTGACTGGCTGTGCAATTTGATAAGCAGGTCTTATTATCTGATGCGAGGTAAAAATTGGTAGGACAGGCACAAGTGTGAGTTTTATTTGGGGCAAGAAGGCACAGATGACTACAGCCACCATTATGTAATGTACATGTATGTTTAGCCACTAGAAATACAAACATATAACAGTTAAAACATGCCCATAAAACTCAAGTAAAACTAATTCTAAACCTGTAATATCTTCCAGTTTAAAGATACCTCTAACATGTTTGAAACATAAATTTTAGAAATATTATTTTAAAAGATAAGTTAGAATAATAAATTATGAAAATTGAATTGTTATTACTTTTCTATAAAAGATAGTTTATATGACATAAAATCATTTTATATTCTATAAAACTAATTCAAACAATTGACCAATAATAAGAGCTGTGTTAGATATCTTCTCATATAAACACAAAAAAGGAGCTGTGTGCACACCCTACTTTATTCAAGTTCCACTGAAACCTCCATAGAAAGAATTTCTGCAGTGCAGACATTGTTATGTGTAAGCTTCCACCTTACACACTACATGCAAAGTCTCCCTGCTCCAGAAAATATGTCTTTACTTTTGAAGATTGGCTTTGCAATATTATTATTGGTATAACAGAAAGGGAAAGATAGCGCTCACTATTCATCATGTTGAATTCTGCACAGAATATATTGTATGAACTGAGCTAAAGAAAGTTCTAAATTTGAGTTAAGGCGAATGCTACACCATGGAGCCATGGTGGCACAGTGGTTAGAATACAGTATTGGAGGCTAATTCTGCCGACAGCCAGGGGTTTGATCCTCACCAGATCAAGGTTAACTCAGCCTTCCATGCTTCCAAGATCGATGAAATGAGGACCCAGATTAATGGGGGCAATATACTGACTTGGTAACCAGTTAGAGAGGGCTATAAAGCACTGTCTAAGTACTATTGCTATCAGTGCATTTCTAGTTGTCCAGTGAAAATAATTTGGAGGATATTTTTGGCCCAGGAGGAATCTGATCATTATACCAATATTAGAAATACTGTTTTCATTTCTATCCACATCCGTTACAAGAACTAGGAAGAATGGAGGAAGCTCAGTAAGTTATTAAAGGCTGTATCTGTGATTTACCGTATTCAATTGTAACAGGTACTTTGAAGAATAGCCAGTTCTCTTATGTCTATTTTACTTTTCTAACAATCTTAAACACTCTAAATATTTCATGGTTATTGCTAAGCAGAATTCAATAAAAAGTCTGGTAACAGAGGAAGAGGCATTTGCTTGAATGAATATGTAATTTTAAAAAATCAGTTCCTACCATTAGGTTGCCTAAATGAATGATAAACTTGAATATCAGTTATGGCATGCCATGAGTTAATCAGTGCTACTTTATCTGCTCCAGAAATTTTGTGGGCACGGTTGACAGTCTTGGTTTTTCCATCTGTCCAGTATATATAGTCTTCAAATAATGTTAGAGCAATCACGCCTAGAACATGTTGATTAGGAACTGCAATAGAATATAATAATATTAGTGTTGAGTTTTGAGAAAGACTGATAGTTAAAATATTTTTATTGCAAAAACTACCCTAAAAGTGCCTTCTTTGGAGGCCTTGCCATTATGTCTGAAGTTGCTTCACAATCACTGTAACTATGTATTTATCTTGGTTAGCAGGTTATATGTCTTTTAGTCTCTGTCTTATATAGAAAGCCTTTTGTTGTTACTCTTTCAGTTTTCTCTTCACTGAATACTTTGTGACATTTTCTCCATTTGCTGAATTACCATTCTCACTTGCCTGCCTACATTTCCTCTCTAGAAATCTTCAACCCATATTTCCTTCTCAAGTTCCTAACTTTTCCTCTAAGTAACTTCTGAGAATAAAGAATTATCCAAAATCTGACAATACTTTAAAACAGACATTCAAGTGATGTAAACTAAGAAGACCCCTCAGTAAACTCTACTACAAAGCCAGAGGGCAAATATTGAAAAGAATTGGTAGAAAGTCAAATTCAACAAAATATGTGGAGGATATATTTTAAAACATTGTCTCGCAAGAGATAGAGAAAAAAAAAGGACTACTCTATTGTGTTATTGTATACTAATTATCCTCATAGTAGTATGAAAGTAATAATCCCGCCAGTTTCCTGGATCAAGCAATTTAGAATTTTAAAAATCATTATCAAATTCAAACTCTTTCTACAATTAAAGGCATTTTTGTCATAAGGAATTATGTAATGAATATGAATATACAAACATGTTATTGAATAGAAGAGAAAGAGAGAGGTCTTTTTTCAGTAAAACAAAATAAGTTGTTAAAACAGACAGCTGTCAACAGCTGATAAAACTTTGTAGTGCAAGTACTCAGGATAAGAGATTTGAAAACAAGAGATGGAATTAATGTTAAAACTAAAGATTTATCTCATAAAATCATATCATGTGATTGGGACAATTGATGGTAATGTGATTTGTACAGTGCTTTTTTTGTAAAAAAAAAAGGGGGGGGGCTGGAACTCACACATGTCATACAACCCCTTGCCTACCCTACAAGGTTCCATCCAAAAAAGGTTCCAGAACTCCGTTCTGGGCGTTCTATGACAAAAAAAGCCCTGGATTTGTAGGATAATCACTGAATCCAATATTCCCCTTTATGTCATCCCACAGATCTGCATTACATAAACAATGAAAGCTTCCCTCTCTCTCCCTTGTCCTTATTTTTATATAAGTGCCTTAGTGCAGGGTTGTCAAACTGCCAGCCCGTGGGCCGGATGCATCATAGCGAAATCATGCCCACCCCATTGCCGGCAATGGCAAAAAGGTTGTGATATGTCGCAACACATCATGTGATGGTGCGAGTTTGATACCCCTGCCATAGTGTGTCAATTTAGTGCCAAAGGAATGAACTCCTTTTGTTTAAATGTAGAATTTTGACGTATGACATGAATAGCATGAAATGAAGTTTTACTGATTAACTATTTTCATGTAAACATATCACTTTTAAATAACACCATGTTGAAAATGAAAGCATCAATTTATTAACCAGCAAAAACTTAGGACAATGAATTCAAGCATGAACTGTTTTAAAACGTTACAAAGGGAAGTGCTTTTAATACTATGCATATATATTGTCCTTAGCGTCTTCATATACAATGTGTATCCAAAGTCAAACCTCATAGGCCAAATACAGTATGTTTTATTATTTATTTTTTCCACATAAAATATTCATGTACAGGAATGTCCAAAGATCATGCAACAAACAAGCAAGGAAGTGTTTAGCAGAAAATGACAAGCAATTTGATCTTTTAATATAATTTATGGAATGAATTGTCTATGGGACCTGACTTTAGGTATTTGTATTGTTTTAGAAAATGTAGATTATAAAATAATAGTTTTTGAATACAACAAATTTGGCAAAATAACAAGCTGTAACAGTTTCTTGGAGTGTAACTAACCTTTATTTCTGCGGGTGCCATCCATATTAGCAAATTCAATATGATTTTCATCAGCCCAGTAAAATCTTCTGTTGACATAGTCTATTGTAAGAGCCATGGGTCTAGATATCTGTGTTTCTATCACAACTGTCTGATTAGAGCCATCCATGCCAACTCGACCAATATGAGGATATTCACAGCAATCAATCCAGTACAAATACCTAGGAAACAAAATTCATAAATATAATCATAGTAACAGTATAATTGGAAATGTTACAATTTACAAAGTTGTATGTAGCATTTATTTTTAAGTATCACATTGTTCACTATCAATGAGCTAAGTTGATAGCTGCTAATTCATAATTCAAAGACTATTCTCTCTCAAAAGAGTTGATAATGGGCTTAATGTTGGTCAAAACTTTAAGGTCAGAATTATGTTTCTTTTGCTGAATTCACACATTCACCATAAAGCAAGAGATAATATGATCTTACAATGGCAAAAAAAGTGTACAATGGATTTAATTTTTTAAAATGTTCCATTCTCTCCTGTATCTTTTCTTATGATAGTCCATTACATCAAAATCTTTCTCTGTGCAAATTAATTTACAATGTTCAGCACTGAATGGGAAAAAAAATATTTGGAGCTAAAACTGGCATATAATCTGCAATCCATAAGCCAATGTGTCCCTCACTTTTTTCAATGACCAAAACATTCTCAAATAATACTGCCCAAACCATTTTCTGTAGTGGCTCAATAATCAGTCATGCTTTGTCCTTTAAATATTGAATTTAAAGCTATACTAACTTTCCACAATTCTTATAACATGTATTAACCCCTCCCTATCCAAGGAAATCTATTTTTATGTTTATAATTGTTTTATATTTGTATGTTTTGTTACATTGTAAGCCTCTCAAAGTCACTTCAAACCATGAGATTGATGGCATATACATTTAATAAAATAAATAATTTAAAAAGTAAAAAATAAAAATGGCCACACACTTTTAGTGTATTCTGTGATATTGAAAATATCCTGCATCCTTTGGGGGATACCCTAGGTTTAAGGGAAAGGAAGGTATGGCTAGAAAACCAAGGAATCTATGAAATACCATGCAAAATCTGCCCAGCCACATACATTGGACAAACTAATAAATAAATGCCCGCATCGCAGAACACAAGAACGCAGTCAGAAAAGAAGAAAAAACTTCCTCCCTCTTCCAGCATCTTAAAGCTACAGGACATGAAATTGATTTTGAAGGAACCAAACTAATCTCCAAAATTGAACACCACAACAAGAGAATAATTATGGAAGCCATCGAAATAGAAAAACACGCCCACAACATGAATAAACGTGATGATACCTCCCGCCTACCAGACATCTGAAAACTAGCTCTAATCAACAAATGAGTCCTAGCCACGAAAACTGACACCGGACCCAGAACACAATACACCACCACCATTCACCCTCACCAGACCCAAACCCAAGCCCAAACCCATCCCTCAGACGAAATGCAACCACCATCCAGAAGCCAAACCACAATGACATCACCAGCTGCTGCACCTCCCTCTGACCCCCACACAAAGCAAACGGACACACGCCATGAACAGAGAGATAGACCGCAAACTCGGAGGCAAACCAAAGCCCGGTATGCTACATCACAGCCTTCTTCTCTGGACACCACATCACAGAACTCAGGAGGTTACAATGCTAAAGCTCAGGATGTTATAACACAGCCAACCACCCAGGGTGTTGCAACACAAAACTCAGGATATCACTACACTAGATCTCAGGATGTAATCACACAACCCATTACCCAGGTCGTTATAACACAAAAGACTAATGGGCACACAGCCAGCACCTCAAGTACTCAGGATGTTACGAAACAGCTGAACATTCCACAAACAATAACAGCCAACCAATCCACACAGCCAACCAACCCACCTACAGCAACTAAGCCAGCACTCCACACACCCCCACCAATATTTATAGAGAGACGGCAGCTCCGATCACACTTTGCTCACACAAGCATGAAGCCGAAGACCCCAGCCTGAAGATGACGAGTGGGACCTCGTCGAAACATCACCAAGATACTCTCAATCTTACATGGGAAAAGACCCGAATACGCCAAGACCTACATACCTGTACCCGTGAAAATCTACGAAAACACACACACACACACACACACAC